AACCCCTAAACCCCTGCACCCCTAAATCTGAAACCCTAAACCCCTACGCCCCGAAACCCCTAAACCCGTAAACCCCTTCACCCCTAAACCCATTAACCCCCAACAAACCCCTTAAACCCCTTCCAGGCCCAAGGCCTCCTGAGCCAACAAGGCTTCCAGGGTCGCAGCCCTTTGCGCCGCAGCCGGCTCCACGGAGGCGGCTGCTTTGGCCTGGCGAAGCTTTTGGGGGGTTCCTTTAAGGGTGCTTAGGCTTTTGGGGGGGTCCTTTAAGGGTCAGGCTTTGGGGGGAGTTCCTTGAAGGGTTTAAGTTTAGGGTTTAGGGGTTTGGGGGTTTCGGGGTTTAGGGGTTTAGGGTTTAGGGGTTTAGGGGTTTAGAGGTTTAGGGGTTTCGGGTTTTGGGTTTAGCGGTTTAGGGCTTTAGGGTTTCAGGGGGTAGGGTCTTGGGTTCCGTCACAGGGTTCGTTTGTGTTTTAGAGGGTTTACTGGCTTTGGGGTTTAGGGTTTAAGGCATTTAAGGTCATATATTCCGGATTGCAAAGGGCTTAGGGCTCCGGGTCTAGCACTCTTAGCTTAGGGTCTTAAAGATTAGGGTTTAGGGCGAAGGGGTTGAGAGCTCAGGGTCTAGGGGTCTTACTAATACAACTATACCATGACACAACCCATTGTAACTCTGTGCGGCCTCATATTGGGGTTTGGGACTTAGTGTTTAGGGTTGGGGCTTAGAAATGTTTAGAGAACAGGGTTCAGGGTTACGGGTTCAGACAGTTAACGGATCCAAAACATGAGATGTTTAATGCTGGGTCTTCATCGCAGTTCGTGAGGTTTGTGAAGATTGCCGGAATTTAAAGGTAGGCTTCGCAGTGTCGGCATTTGGGCATCAGTTGGGTTCAAGGGTTTAGGATTTAGGGATGGTCAAGCACGTAGGGTTTCAGCTTGGGAGTTAGGGTTTCGCGCTTTCTGGGTTTAGAGCTCAGGTATGTAAGTGGATTCGGTTGACAACCCTAGTACCACTGTAAATCCTCAGCCCTAAACCCTAAACCCTAAACCCTAAACCCCAAACCCCAAACCCTAAACCCTAAACCCTTACCCTAAACCCCATCCTCGGACCCCCCAAGGGGGACACCGAGGAGGACAAGCATTGGGTTTGCGATGGAGGGCCGCCAACGGAGACCAGAGCTGTGTGTGCTGCAGTTTCGACGTTGAAGGTTTAGGGACTTACGATCTTAATTTAGGGCTTGGGCCAATTGGGGGTTGGGGTTTAAACCTTCAAGGCAGGCCTAAAACCAAAACCTTGGTTTAAGGGAAAGGGCTTTAAGGGGTTAGGGTTTCCGGCTCCTACACCTCGCGGTCCTGCGGGCTAAATGGCGCAGGACAGCACACAGGGCAACCTTAGAGGCCTCCAAAGTTAGAACATGGGGCCTTTGGGGTTTCGGGTTTAGCGTTTAGGGTTTTGGGTTTGGCGTTTAGGAAGCCCCGAAATGTCTGGAATTCTGAACCAAACCACGACACAAACACAGACAACATATTCATTAAGCAAAAAAACGTATACAAGAACCCAAACCCACCAAGCCTAAGCCAAGGAACCAAATACACATTAATCACAAGAGCGCCCAAGACCCCTCAACCCCAAAGCCCTAAACCTCTCTAGCTCCCTTGTAGTTTCCTTACTAGATGGGTAGTTGTCCAAATTAAGACCCCCTGAAAGACCTACAAATGCCCCTCCAGCTACAGCAGAGGCCCTTTGTGCGGGTTTTGGGCGGTTTTGCTTTTTGGTTTTGGGGGTTCAGGTCCCGAGTTTGGGCAGGTTTTTGCCGGTTTTCGCCTTTTGCCTTGCTCTTCAAGAAATCTGTTGCCGATTGAAACTTGCTCTTGCCCCAAACCCGGCGCGGAAACCCATCTGTTTCGCTTCTATACTGTCCGTCAATGATACAGGACTCTATACGGCCAGGCACGTTAGAGCAAACAATTTCTATTTATCCTGGACTTGAGGGTTTGAGGTTTAAGATTTAGGGTTTCAACATCCAACCCGAAACCCTAAACCCTACACCCTAAACCCTAAGTAAGACCCCTCCCTAGAGACAATAAACGAAGGAGGTGGGTGCGGGAGGGACCTCCCTGAGCTTCTCGCGGAGAGCAGACAGAGCATCCTGGACCTGGTTTAGGGTTCTATAACATGCAAAGTTTTAGGAGTTTAAGGGGCTAGGATTTAGGGTTTGGGCCGAGGGCCTAGTGTCAAACCTCAGATTTCTTACCTAGTTGAGGCAGCTGTTCTTTTGAGGCTGTGTATAGGCTTCCCACCCAGGTTGTCCTACCCGTTTTAGAGGGTGTATAAGACTGCGTCAGAGTTCTCTGCCTGTTTTTTGATTAAGACTCGGGACACTTAATCACACTTTGAAACAACGTTTTTAATGTTTAGGATTCGAGATTAGGTGGACGTGTTGGGGTTCACTTCAAGCTTCGGGCTTTCAGATTTTGGGGTTAGAATGGTGTGACCTCTCAGGACGAAGATCTGGGGCTGAAGGTTGAGGATTTGTGGGCTGAAGTTTGAAGCTTCTCGTGTTTAGGGGTTGAAGTCGAGTGACGATAGTGTTCAGGAATGGAAGGTCGGGGTTTAGGGTGCTAGTATAAGCTACAGTAGTGAACATCGTCACAGTCATAGCCATACTCGTACTGCCGTTGATGATA